ATCGGAAGATCACATTGGATCCTCACTGCTGCATCTTTATTACGATGAATCCAGCCGGAAGTGAGTATGGAGGCAGGCGCAAGCTGCCGGATTCATTGGCGAGGCTCTTCAGACCTATCAGCATGGCGCATCCGGACAAATCGGATATCGTCAGAACCCTGCTAGAATGCGCCGGTTTCTTAGAAGCAATTACTCTCGGCAAACGACTCGTAGAGGCTCTCGAAATTGCCGGGACTATGTTATCGGAGCAACCGCATTATGATTGGGGACTCAGAGCGCTGAAATCTGTGCTCGACGCCTTACATCCGGTTGCCGGTGTAGACGAGACCACCAGGCATGTTTAAAATATATGAGTTTTCAAATATATGAGATTAGGAAAGAAAATTATAATATTTTTATCAAACATAAAGATAAAAAAGGTTGATTTCTTTTAATGAATTAATATTTAATATTGACATAATGTTGACCTATTGCCATCTGATATTCTAGCACTCAAAACTTTTCAATAGTCTGTTCAAAAAGTCGTAATTGAAAACAATTTATGTTCCTTGACCTCAATTTTAGATTATATATTTTGACAAAATAGAAGATGATTTTATATTTTATTAATATAGTTTTTATATAAGTATATAAGAATGTTTTTTTTTCTTGAGTATAGTATTAAGATTAATTAGTATTAAAGTCATTCTACAAAAATGTCTTTTCATTAATAAAATTATGTCGATTTATTAAGGATTTTTTTTTCATTTTTTTTTCATAGACTTCTCATCTCGATTAAGGAGTCGACTCTTCCAAAGCTGACGGAGACAGACACGACAAAGTTCTTGGCATTGCTAAGCGATCTCTTCCCGAAAACCAATCCTTCTTTGCCCGTTTCTACAGAAAGTGAAAATTTAGTCGCCGCGTTGTTGAAGATCTGCGAGACTCAGGGATTGACAAAAGAGATTGCCAACAGATGCGTTCAACTGAATGATCTGTTGAAAAGTAGAACTGGCGTTGCCGTAGTCGGCCCACCGGGTAGCGGAAAAACATCAATCAGGTTGTGCTTAGCCGAAGCGATGGCGAAGATCGGCGAACCCGTGCAACAGATCGTCGTTTATCCTGGCGCGATACCTAAGAGCAGATTGTTAGGATATGTGAATCCGCGAACGAGGTAAAATAGAAATAGAGACATACTTTATCAGTTTTGAATATGATGGATCGATTGCTAAAATTATATGTTTGTGCGAGAAGAGAATGGAAGGAGGGTGTTTTATCGAGCGCGGTGACGTCCGCTGGAAATTCCGCGACCTGGATCATCTTCAACGGCGATGTGGAACCTGAATGGGCGGAGGCGCTGAATTCAGCTCTGGACGATAATCGATCGTTAACGTTACCCAACGGAATAGGAGTTAAACTCGGCAGTGGTACAAGGTACAAACATATGGCTTAACATTAATTGAATAATTATATCTAACATAAAATGCGACAGGACTCACAGTCAAATAAATATCAAATGTTTGAACTTGATAACTTATGCTAATTATATACTCGCTTATTGCACTTGTTGCGAATATGTTTGTAAAACAGGTTTATTTTCGAGACCCACAAGCTTGCTGATGCCAGTCCGGCTACGGTTTCACGATTGGGTGTTTTGCATCTTGGATTAACGAAATCAACGTCTCTATTGGCGCCGTGGCGTTTAGAGCAATTCTCTTCGACGGCTGCGGAGATCGCAAACGCTCATTTATGTTCGTCTATCGACGAGACTCTGAATATAAATGTCGAAGGCTCGTCTGCGTCCGGTCTGATGACCGCCGCGTTGTGTCACCTCTATAAAGCGCAAACATTCAATCAGGCTACTCAAGCTCTTCTGCTTTCATTATGCGGCCAAGTAAACGATGTACAATCTAGAGATGATTTGGCGAAATTTATTTATGGGTCAACCGATAGTTGGTGAGTGGTTCAAGAATTTTCTCAACTCTAATTTTCTCGAATTTCTAAAACAATGGACTAAGTCAGCTGTGCTCACTTCACTTGTGAAATATCCTTCAGGTGTCCCGATCCGCAAAAGCCAAGTACCGTTCTCTACGATCAAGAAACTGATCGACTAATACCCTTTAGCGACACTTACGAATCTATCGATACCGATTATGGGCCTGTTTCGATCTCAGGTATTCTTAAAGTCATGTATTGAAGTTCTAAGAGTAAACTTATAAAAAAAAAATATAAAATATATTTTTTTTCATATTTTATACATAGATCGCATCAGAAAAGCATTAGCAGCCATTTTGCCGTGGATAGAAGATGGTCATCCACTTATGATTCGTGGACCCAAAGCTTGTGGTAAAAATACTTTAATCGATGTTGCGTTATCGAGAATTAAAAATCACGATACAATGATCGTGGTGAAAGGATCTTCGCTTTATGGTCCTGAGGATTTTGTAACTCGCTTGAAAAAAGCTTGCTTGCGTCTGGAGTCCTCGTCGCAGGGTAGAATGTATAAGCCGAGAAGTGGATCTCGAGTGCTTCTTATCTTGGAAGATATGCATCTCGCTGCTAAAAATTTACAGGTATGTATAATCCAGAATCTCTTCATAAATTTTCAATGTAATAAAAAAGTCGATCTAATAAATCTTGAATTACATAGTCATTTGTAACAATAACAGAGCTCTTTTTAATCTCAATTAAATATATAAAAATAAAGTTTATATTATTCTTTTAAACTGTATTTTTGATTTAACAGAAATCTTAAATTCGTAAATATAATGCGATTTTCTTTTAAACAGTAACGTATATAAGAAAAAATTAGAGTTAAAGAAAAGCATTGCAACTCAATAATAAATTAATAAAAATAAATTATATATTTTTAGGAATTGGTGAGAGAATTACTTCAAGAGGAAGGATTCCTCGAGGAGGATCTCGTATTTTCTAAAATATCCTTAACGATCATATGTACTGCCGATGAATCTACACGATTGCATCCGAGACTCGAAGCCTTATTTGCAACTTATTATCTAGAGTGAGTAATTTCTTCACATAAAAAGTATGTAAATTATAATAAACTAAAAGCAAAATATATCTATCAATAGATATCCCAGCCAAAAGGACGTTGCATCTATTCTCGAACTTCATTTGAGAACTTCTCTGAAGGAGATAGATTATGTTATGGCAGAATCTTGGATCGCTCGAATAAAGCCTAATATCTTAGACGCTTTTCGATTTGCGTCCAATCAGAAATCTTCTCTCAATTGGACTCTTAAAGACATCGTTTCGTGGGCGAATCGTTTGAAATATTACCCTACACCCGAAAACGAAGCGGACATCACTCGTTATTTGTTGGATGTCGGAAAACGTCTATTTTGCGCGAGGTATTATCTTAAAATCATAATAAAATATTTATTCTATTATTAACAATTATTATATTACATTTGAATAAAATTTGTACAAGAAATTTAAAACTATACATAATAAATTTAAAGTTTTATTCATAATTGTTTTTTTCCTCTGCATGTAATCTTACAACGTTATAATATTTCCTTGTTTAGATTAACGCCCGAGGCTTTGACACGATGGGAACGTTTATTAATTTCAAAGGACTCCGAGGTAAAGAATTTTAACAATGATGTATACGTATGGAAGAGTGCAAATACGGGGCTTTATCCTTTGAGCAAAGAAGAATGGCGAGAAGAGATAATCAATGCAGCGGCTAGATGCGCTAGAGAAGGTCAACCGGTGCAAGTACCGATTTCATCCTATCTTTTGGAAACTATAGCTGGTAAATAGTTTAATTAAATCAGTTTAAAAAAAAAATTTTATTTTATTTTATAATAATAATGTTAAATGTTTTAAATGATAGGATTGAGTTGGGCTGTGGGGTGTGATTTTCGCGGTATGATACTCGTTGGACGACCGGGAGCGGGCAGGAGATCAGCTGTTAAACTAGTCGCGACCTTCTCTTCTCTTCGATTGATTGACTCAGGACCTGGTGAATATATTATAATTTACAAAGAAGTATGATATCTGTTATTGGATCTCTATACTCTTGTAACTTTGTTGTATTTGTACTCGCAGAACGCGGTAAAGCGGCGATAAAGAATGCCGTGCAAGCCGCCGGTATCGAGAGCCAACCGACCTTGCTTTTGTTGGAAGAATGCCACGCTAGGGAAGAGACCTTAACCATCCTAATAAGCGCTATGGTATCCAGAAGCGAAATTCCAGGGCTCTTTACAACGGAAGAGCTTGACGCGCTCATCGCACCGCTAGCCGATCTGGCCCGAAGAGAAGACTTCCAAGGAACATTAGAGCAGTATTTATATCATCGTACGTATATTTTAAAAATTATCCAAAGAAACAAATAAATTTATAGCAATACATTATTTTTTTCTCTTTAAAAAATTCATAATTTTATTTTAAGCGCTCTCGTTTTTAATTACGTCGTATTATACGTTATTTTTATGTTTGTCACATGGTGCAACGATTGACAATATTTTGTAGGTCTACGCAAGTATCTCCGGATAGCGGTAATCCTAGATTCGGAAGAGATAGAATCGTCGCGATTATTACATCTGGGTCTTCGACATTGCGCGCTTCTCGGGTCTAGTCTTGGCGAATGGTGGTCTCGGGAGAGCTCGTTAATTAAATTTGCGGTCCAGGAGGGCACTTTAGAGCTGGACGAAATCGAGGAGCTACCGAGCGGCGCGAAGATCATGATCGGCGCTCATCTACAGGCACCTCGCCATCAGAGAGCACCGGCGAGATTTCTCGCTCTAGTGCACACCTGGAGACATCTCCGCGACACGTGGAGCAAAGAGGTAGAGGAGAAGCTTCGATCTCTCGAAGCCGGTATCGGAAAGCTAAGGGAGGCCGGCGAGCAGGTGGCTAAGTTGGAAGACGAAGTATCCAGACAGCGTCAGGAACTTGAGGTTCGCATAACTCGACTTTGAATAATGTACATTTTACAATATTTTATAATATCGTAATAAAAAAATATTATCAAGGTGGAAAAAGGGAGAGCCAACGCTGCTCTCGAGCAAATCACTGCTACGATGAGAGGTGCGACTAGTCAAAGAGGAGAGATGACAGACTTGAAGGCCAACACAGAACGCGAGAGCGCCGAGCTTGCGCTACGTAAGGTATTAAACGAGTTAAAACACATGCGGAGATCTCAGAGGCTCCACGTCGGTGTGATATGTTATATATATATGTAAAAATTTTCTCTCTTACTGTTTAACATTTAGGCGGATATAGAGAGTGAATTAGGAAAGGTTGAGCCTCTGGTAGCACAAGCTGCTCAAGCAGTAGCCGGTATAAGTGCCGATGCGTTAGCCGAAGTTCGTTCACTGAGAGCACCTCCGGCGCCAGTGAGAGATGTACTCGAGGGTGTTCTTCGGCTAATGGGCATAAAGGACACATCCTGGAATAGCATGAAAACTTTCCTCGCCAAGCGAGGTATCAAAGACGAGATTAGGTGAGCGATTTAAATCTCTCTAATCGATCCATTTTAAATCTATTTACCTCTGTATATACGCTTCAGAGATGAGCGTATTTAACTTTATGGAATAATAATTTTTTCTTTTTTCGTAACGCGCAGAAATTGGGACGCGAGACGCAGTGCACCTGCCAGTTTAGAAGCGGTCGCTAAACTGGTGAAGGAACGCCCGGAAAGTTTCGAGGAAAAAACGGCAAAGAGAGCATCGATGGCGGCGGCTCCACTGGCCGCTTGGGTTCTCGCTAATCTTCAATATGGTCAGATATTGGAGCAAGTTGCTCCATTGGAACGAGAACAACGACAATTGGCCGAGTACGAGACAAGAAGGAGATTTCCGTTCCTATTCCCCGTTATAAAAAATCTTGCCTTAATTCTTAAATACAAAAACTTTTTATTTTTTTCGATATTTATCTTCTCGTTATTATTCTCTATATCTTGCAGTTAATTTTTTTTTAAATTTTTTTATCTCTCTCTCTTTTTTTATAATCTAATCTTCTCTTTAATTAAATGATTTTAATCATTTAGATTCGTAATGTCGTCTTTTGTATTATTCAAGACGATTGGCGGCGGCTGAGGCGCAATTGGGAAAATTAGCAACGGGATTAAACACGGTGGAAAGTCGCGTGGCGCAACTTCAAAAAGAGCTTGCCGAGCACACGAGAGGTGCAGCTGAATTGCAGTTGCGAACCGAATCTACCGAGGCCAGTCTCTCGACGGCGCGAGCTCTCTTGCAGAAGCTCGATACCGAACATCGCGACTGGCAAACTCAATTTCAAGAGCTGACAATCAGAAAAGAAAAACTGGACATCGAGGCGGCCAATGCGGCGGCTTTGCTCGTGTATCAGGTCCAGTTAATCTTTTCGCTTATATTTAATCAATACGAAAAAAAGATATATTATATTTAATCTGACGTAGTTATTCTAATATTTTAAATAGATATACTTTCAGTAAATATTTCCACAATAATCATTTTGAAAATTAGTGTACGTTGTATTTTTACGCGCAAACATTTAATTATCGATGCATCATGTAAAATATAATATTAATGATTGCTTATAAAAATTTTTAACAACTGATTCTTAAAAATTAATGATCCGTGCAGAATCCTGAAAGAGATGACAATTGGGAGAAATCAGCGATCACGTTATTAGTAACCGAACGCGAGAGATTGCTATGGAGAGCACAGGATTTACCAGCAGATACGAGTAGCTTGGTTGCGGCCTCTCGTGTGTTGAAAGGACCGTTGGTGCCTATTTTCCTCGATCCCTCGGGAGTAGCTGTATCCTGGATTAAACGTAGCATTGGCTCCAGACTCGAAATTACCCAGCCTGAAAATTCGAAATTTTTGACTGCTCTCGAACTCGCTGTGCGTTTCGGAAAACCTCTCTTGGTCGAGGAACTGGTCGAATTTCCGTCGATATTGTTGCCTGTTCTTCGCCGGAGGCCACTTAGATTGGGCGATCGTGTCTTGTCGGCTCAGCAAGGCTTCCAACTTTTTCTAGCCACGAGGAAAGAGAGATTGGAAGATATTCCGAAGGAAGCCGATGCCGTGTTATGCGAGATCATCCTTGGCGCAGGTACAAAAAGCCTGGCGGAGAGATTCGTCGAGAAGGTATGCGAGGACGGATAGATGAATACAATAATTTTTAACAATCCCACTTTGATTCAAACGATTATCAATATTGTGTCTTTGTAAGCTTTTATTAAACGAAATGCCGGAGCTCGAGGCGCGAAGAAGAGAAGCTTTGGAAAGGGAAGAAAAATTGTCTGGGGAACGAGATGCTGCCAGACTAGATCTGTTGAGTCAATTAGCTACAGCCAGGGGCCAAGATCTTTTACAAGAATCTCAAGAGCAAGGAGGACTCTTGTCTACACTGGAGACGACGCAATCCAAGGCGAAAGAAATAGCGGTTGCCCTCGAGGAAAGTAGACAGAGCTTAAATGAAATTTCAAGGTACTATGATATAACTTGACTAAGCTAAGACATTGATGTTGATTTTGAATATTAAAGATGATATTTTTCACTATTGTTTTTTTTTTAGACGGGCCAAAGATCACGAAAAGTTTGCGCAATTTGCCGCTAACGTGTATGAAACTATTAAAGGATTGACACTTCTCAACTCTTTATATATCGTTTCCACGGAGGTTTATACAGACATTTGCTTGAAAGCAGTACGGAATGATAGCTCTTCCGCGGGTCCAGACAGAGAGAAAAGAGAATCGCGGAGTCTAGAAAAACGGTATGTACGTACCTCTCCCGATAAGATTTATACGAAATCGTCATATAAATAATTTTGTCATCTTCAGGTTGATAACATTGACGTTCTATCATTGTGCGAAAGCAATCTACAGAAAACACAGACTTCCTCTAGCCTTGCATATGGCATTGTCGTTAAATCGAGTATCAGATGTCGAGAGAAATCTTTTGCTTGATAGCGGTGCAATCAACAACGATAATTCGGTCTTTGAATTACCCGAATGGATACCGGACGAACGACGTGAGGCTGTGCAGGCCTTAGGTTCTTCTCTATCCAACGTGCGTAAACCTAATATAACTTTTGCAATAAACGGTTTTTTAATAATCTTAATTCTTGAAAAGTCTGGAATTTTCCTGATATTTGACATAATCCTTTTTTATTAAAGATTGCTGCCAAGATAAAACCTTCTTGGTTGAAGGATATTTCTAATATTTATGCGGACAGTGAGCTTAACGCCTTTCAAAAAGTTTTAGTCGTGAAAGCACTTCGGCCTGATTATTTACATACCGCTCTTTCCAAATTCGCTGCGAAACAATTAGGTAAGAAATGTCAAAAAATTCTTTATATTTTTTTATTGTAAATTAATAGAGAATTTTTTGTTATTTTAATATCAATTTAATTTTGAGAGTTTTAAATATTTAAATAATATAATTTAAATTCAAGCAAAACAAATATGCAAAAAAAAGCTGAATTAAATGTAATTGTAATTGTTTTTGTGCACAGTCAATAAATATCATGTTTATTTTTAGCGATATATACTTTTATATTTATTAAATTTTCTTTACGATCTTTTTAATTTGCGAATAAATCTACGAAAGGTGTGAAGGATTTGGCTCCCCCTGTATGGACATTGAATACGATCGCTCAGGAAAAAGAAAGATCGTATCCTGTGCTATTACTTTTATCGCCGGGAACTGACCCCGGTCCTGAACTCAATGTGCTTGCTGCGAAATATGCCTCTGCTGGATTTACCGAGGTTTCCCTGGGTCAAGGACACGTTACTCAAGCCGAATCAGCATTGGAAGCTGCGTGCAGGTAAAATTTTGTAAAGCATCGCACAATAATATTAAGAGTTAAAGAATATTTAAATGTCTTATACGTACTTTGCTAAAATTCAAGAAAAAATAATTATTAAAAAAATTAAGAACAAGAAAAAAAAAGAGATTTTATTTAAAATATAATCAATGTATCTGTTTCGAAGTACACATTTGTCATTTCGCAGAAAGGGTGGCTGGATATTGTTGAGCAATTTACAACTCGCTCTAAATTGGTTACCGCGATTGGAAAGCCTGTTACGTTCACCTATGTGTACCGCAAATAAAAATCCTTCCACAAAGATCTGGCTAACCACCGAGGAGTGCTCCGGTTTTTATCCGGGCTTAGCGGGACTTTGTCTGAAACTGGCATACGAGCCCCCCGAAGGCGTGAAGAGGAACATGAGAAAGTCGCTCCAGCAGCTTCGACAATCGCAGAATAACGACGAAACCGCGGCCCCCGTTTTAATGCTCTCCTGGTTACACGCTACGCTCCAAGAACGACGAAATTTCATTCCTCAGGGTTGGATTAGATCATACGAATGGAACGAATCGGATCTCGAGGCAGCCTACGAGTTAGTGATTAAAGAGATGACAAAGGAGAAACAATCGCAACAAGGTATACAATTTTATTGCTTCTCTCGACAATCTATGTAAACATAAATATAAATGTAAATTATTATATAATAATATAAAATCTTGCAACACATAAATATATATATATGAGTATAATATTTGCGAGAAAAGGAGAGTGGCAAATCGGCAGAGGTTTACTCGACGTTGCGGTTTATGGAGGTCGACTTCAAGATGATTACGATGCAAGAGCTTTGCGCTCAATGATACGCGATGCGTGGTCCAGAGATATTTTCGAGGGTCACCGGAAGCTGGGAGACGCGTTGAAGATAACCGATGGTGACCCCATAAAGTTGCTGGAGAGTTTAGACGATACCGATTCGCCAAAAAAGTATTTCGGCCTCCCTGCTAACGCTCACAGGGCATGGGAAAGATCTGCCGCGGAGAAAGCCCTGACATATCTCAAAGGTAGATTACATTGAAATAAATTAATGTGACACTTTATATCCAAATTATTTTATATATTTCTTTTTTAATTTAAACCGTCCAAGTCTTTAATATCAGCTGACGTATATTTTAAATGATTTTTAAGGTATCTTAATGAAGCCTTTCAAAAATAGCGAAGGAAACAGCAATAAATTAGAAAAATCGAAAATTGAACAGGATCTAAAGAAAGTTATGGATCGACAATGTTCCTTGACATTCACGTATGATACAAGCGAACAGAAAAGAAATCCATTGCAGGATTTTTTCATAGACGAAATTGATCTTACAAGAAAGTTGTTGAATATTGTACGAACGGATATAGACGTGTCATCTTTCGAGGATAATGAGGTGAGATAAGAAGAGAGAGACTCTGTTTTCTATTTAATATATCTGTTATAATTATCTATTTTGTTTTTTCGTTTTCTCATACATTATTATTTATAATAATTATTATAATTATATATAATATATTATTTACATGTTCTAATCAAAGACTCCAGAGTACTGGTTTAAGAAATGGCGGTCAGGCCCGAAGAATGCAATTCAATTCGCAAAGGCGCTTTTGTCAAAGTACGAGACATTAAAATCCTCAGCAGTGAATACACCTTGTCGAATCGATTTGTCTCAATTGTCCCGACCACGTGCTCTTTTAACTGCACTAAAGCAACATACCGCACGAGAACTTGGTTATCCATTGGAAGTACTTCATCTCCACGCTAATTGGACCGAGAATCGCACAAACAAGGAGTGGAAAGTGTCGCTCCAGCTCGAAGGTTTACTTATATCAGGTAAATTTGATTAATTATTCAAAAGTTCAAAAGTATTTCAGTACCGATTTTTTATTGATTCACGGAAAAGCTGGAATTTTTTATAAACCGTTTTTACATAATTATGGGCATGTTGGAAAATTTTTAAGAATTTTTAGATAAGATAGCATCGAAATCTAAAGTATTATTTTAAATTACGTGCGCACATATATGTATATATATACACACATGAAACAATTTTAAACAATGTCTTAATTACAGGAGCCTTGATCGAGAAAGGTATTTTGAAGGACCTGGACGTAAATTCGGCAGCAGTTGCGGTCGCCCCGACATGCCAAGTGGCGTTTATGCCAAAAGAATATTCGGAAGATAAATCCGACGACGATAACTTTAATATTCTCGAGGATAAGTCTCGACAAGATTATCTGAACATACCGGTTTACACAAGTATTCAACGAGAGGCTTTAATCTGTTCGTTACCAGTCACATGCCTAAGGGAAGATCGCGACGTATGGTTTCGTCGTGGCGTCATTTTATATCTGAGATAAATAATTTTACTAATCATTTTTAGTAATAAAATGAATCCCCGATGATATCATCTGACGATGATGAAAATACGTCAATAAATTAATTCTTAGTTCCTGATTCATAAGTGATTAAAAATGCAAGTCAAATACAGTTTTAGCTAGTATACAAATAAAAGAACTTTAATTTTTATAGAGATATATTATAAAAACAGTGTGTTAATTTTTGTTTTATTTATTACCACACGCTTATATCAGGTCTACCGGAAAATTCTGTCCGTTTTTGGAATAGATAAGTAGTGTTAAAGATACAAAAGCAAGTTTCCAACGTTCAAGAATACAAAAATTTTAGAAATTCTGAGATTGAAATAATTACAATAAGCTTGTAATTTTTAATGTAATAATCGCGAATCATCTTGTATAAAAAGTAAATAATAATTTGAGATTATTATTAAATACTAACCATTAAGAGATTAATGTTTGACAAAAGTAGATTCTCGTAAAATCTGTAATAGAGCCTTAATAATTTTAAATTATATTTATTTATTTATTTCTTTCTTATATTTTATCAAGAAAATATAATTTAAGGCAATAAACTTTATGGAGATATAATTTTGTTCTCTTGATCAAATAAAAAGATACAAGGTAGGAAAATACATATCACATGTCAATACATCAAAAACATCATTAGATTGAACAATTTTAATACGCTTATTATTATTAAAAATACATAGAGATATGTCGGGAATTTGTTGGAAGGTAATTTTATACGGGGCATAATCCCTACGGCATCAAGTTTCGTTCACAGATTCCTCGATTAATTTAAGACGATTTTATTACGTTTCACTATTGTTGAGATATCTCAAAAATAGTTTGGTAAATTTTAATTGTTTTGTTTAATAGATTTAAACTTACAGATAATACACAGCAATATCATTCGTTTTAATAAAATAAAATCATTATAGTTGGTCCGATGTCACAATGCGTTTTTCGTACAGCATAAAATGCACAAAGTACTAAGAAATGTATCGATGTTTACATAAAGCTATAGTTTAATTTCTATTCTGTAAAAAATAAAAGCTATCACACATCATATCTTATTTCAAACTGGAAACTTATTAACAACTAAAACTGTCTATTTTTTAGAAATATCTAGGAACATTAGTACATGTTTAATGGAAGAACGAACAGGCGAATGGACAGAGTTCTCTTCTCAATGAACTAGAGTAATTCCTAAAAGAGCTAAGAAATTCTATATTAGAAATTCTATATTTAAAAAGCTAAGAATCTATATTATTTAATACTTTGTATTTTTTTCATTAAAACTGGACGACATTGAAACTTTCTTACATTGAAATTTCGTACTACTATGACTTATGTTAATGATAAAAAAATATTCTGCAATTGTTACGCGTTACGCAGGATTGATTTAAATGTACAAAAAAATGTATTTACTGATTTCATATATATATATATATCTGTATCTTTTGCTATAAATGTAATCCAAATTTATTTTCTGGAAATTAAGCAATTTTAGAGATTAAAAAAGGAACCATAAATTTTAAAGATTCGAAATTATTAAAAAGCAACAGTTTGCGGCATAAAAGTAACGAGGCTTACTCATTCTCATATGCTTTGTCGTCCAGTACAATCAAGTACAATAAACTTTGAAGTCACGAACATGGAATATCAAGATTCTATTATAATATCAATTATAAATGATCTATTTGACTCGTAAATTTTTTTTATAAGAGGCAAAGAGAGAGAATAGAACGTTAAGGATTTAGATTCCGTGCACACGAACAGTTTTCTTAGCGCATGGTTATTTTTTCATGGACGAAGAAAAAACCGTCATTAATTCAAATAGGTACACGAGCGGCGAAAGAACTCGTAAATAATTAAATTAGAAATTAAATATTATTTATGTATATATATATATATATATATATATATATATATATAAAGATATATATACAAATATAATTATATTAAAAATCTGTAATCGTTTCGTAATCGCATTGTATCAAAAACTCTGATAAATTGCGCGATCGTACAATAAATAACATATTATGTCATTTATTCCGCCAAATAAGGTAGGTAGTAGGCATTTAATTTGGTATTTAATTAGAGTGAGAGAGAACGAAAGAGAAGAACAAAAGAGTAAGTGAGAGAAAAATTTAGATGGCAATACTGGCCAATTTACTTATTTCGCGCATGCGCACTCCGTTTTAGCCAACACAAAATTGGGAGAGTTGCGCTACTGTATATACTGTTATATATATCTGTATCTTTTGCTATAAATGTAATCCAAATTTATTTTCTGGAAATTAAGCAATTTTAGAGATTAAAAAAGGAACCATAAATTTTAAAGATTCGAAATTATTAAAAAGCAACAGTTTGCGGCATAAAAGTAACGAGGCTTACTCATTCTCATATGCTTTGTCGTCCAGTACAATCAAGTACAATAAACTTTGAAGTCACGAACATGGAATATCAAGATTCTATTATAATATCAATTATAAATGATCTATTTGACTCGTAAATTTTTTTTATAAGAGGCAAAGAGAGAGAATAGAACGTTAAGGATTTAGATTCCGTGCACACGAACAGTTTTCTTAGCGCATGGTTATTTTTTCATGGACGAAGAAAAAACCGTCATTAATTCAAATAGGTACACGAGCGGCGAAAGAACTCGTAAATAATTAAATTAGAAATTAAATATTATTTATATATATATATATATATATATATATATAAAGTTACGTATAAAAGAATTTTTTTATTATTAAAGTAATATAAAAAACTGGAAGAGAGATTATATTGTGGAAACAAAATAGAGAGAGAGAAAGAGAGAGAGAAAAAAAAGAAAGGGAAAATAAAAGCACACAATATTTTTCAAATTATACAAAGTATTATATAAATATTTTAAAAAATTATTTAAAGTGTATATAAATTATTACTTTTATTTTATATAGAATTCCCAAATATAATTTACGCTTTGTTTGCGCTCGATTATTACTTTGCGCAGTACGAGTCCTCTCGGTTTAATTTTCAAAGCCTCGTATACACATCCACGTATAAATATATAATATGCCCGTATCGAGAAAATAAAGTATGTTCGTGTGCACACGGTGTATTATCATATAAGATAAGAAACGAGATAATTGCGAATAAGAGATAAGAAACAGAATAGAAGGGAATGGACGGGAGAGAAATATAACAGTCGCGGTGCGAGCGCTGGCTTATGCCGAAATGTTGTGATTGTCGTCAATTTATTGCTCTAAAACTTAAACCGAGATTTGCGAGCTGAGCCAGCGTCCTCACCGCCGCGAAAGGCGTCGCTATATATCTGAGGAATTCTATTAACTTCCCTTTAAATCTCGGGCCTAATGCTATTCCGGAGCTAATTGAAACCGGTACAATCTTGACGAGTGAAAAATTTTTACGCTGTGAGAGCATCGAACGAGAATGATGTTTATTTTCAATCGCAACAATGCAAGCACAAACATTTTTTTCTATATTCGGTGTAGAAAATTAAACTGTGCAAGATCTAAAACCGATTTCAATGCCGTTGCGCGTGTTATCGGGCATAAAACTAACACTATTCTTTCATTTGTTATCCCGATACATATGTATGACATATACCCGATCACACGCGCGCAAAATATTCTCTTATATGCCCTATAACGATCCTACAACAATTTTATATATATAAGTATTCTCTTGCTTTTTTTTTTAAATTCTCTTTTTATTCGACAATTATCATCGACGATGGTATAACAGGTACGGATCGAGAAAGGCATTTCTTTTCAAGTACTCCAGAAGAGTACTAAAAAGTAAGCAGGGTATCTAAATGACGCGCTTCTTTTTTTGCACAAAAGTGTCGATTCTTTTACAGTGCACGACCGTTGCAATACCAACACTCAATAATTGTAGCATATTATATATTTTTCATTTTGATCAAGATTGGACTGGATATTTTTGAAGATCACATTTTTGCGCATTAAAAGATCTGAATTGGATCTAAATATTTTTAATAATTATTTTTTACATATTATTGTGTATATTTAAAATTAACATATAGCTCAATTTTTTAGAGATATTCCAGATTGCACTCTTTGTGTTTTATTAATTTTTCTGTCAAATTTTAGAATAAAAGAATAATTATAAATTAAACTAGATTTTAATTCGAAGGGATGTATTCAAACTATTGAGTGCTAGTATATGTACAATCTTGAATAACAGAATTTTTAATAACAGAGAAGAGAGAGAGAGAGAAAGAGGGAGAGAGAGAGAGAGAGAGAGAGAGAGAGAGAAAGATAAAGACAGAGGATACAATGATATGATAAAATATTCGCGCTTGATAAACGTTCCACAGGTATAATAGAATATAAACTAGAATTCCAAAGGAGATCACAGAAATATATTAATAAGTAAAAGGGCCCGAAAGAAAAAACGTGAAAGAAAGAAATCGTTGCGTGCACGATCAATATTGACTTATAACCGGCGTCTTCTTTTAGAATATGCGCGAATTCATAAGCGATAAGCGCTTCAAAAATTCTACACATATGTACATAGATCTTATATCAATTCGACAAAAAATAATCATTATATAGTAATAGTACGTTAATAGCGATAGACTGCATCTCTAACAACTAATTGGTGTTCGTACGTTGATCCCTTTTTACATTTTGGTATCGTTTATAGAATGTTCCATTCGTTTTCTTACCCTTCTTTCTCTAAAATTATATCCTCTAATTTTCCCTCAATTTTGTTAAAGCTAACAGATTATCGATCCGCTTGTTGTAGCACCCATTTCGAGTGGAGATTATGAACTTTTGCACATGCATCCAATATGAGACAGTTAATCTTTGTTTGGCATCGTCATTAACTTTCCATCAAGATTCGTTTAAATTGGCACAGATTTTGCAATCGAATTGGCCTCTATAAATAATCTTCCGTCGTTTTCGTACACGCAAACGCGTAGCTGGTCCATTTTGTTATTTTTTTTTTTTATTTTATTTTAATTTTTTTCGTATACGGGAGATATTTTCTGTAACGTCAGAAAATTTTTCGTGAATGTATACGTGTGTATATATATACACATACGCGCAAAATTGACTGTCTCATTTTGGACCGGGGGAGACATTAAATGTCGTACGAGAAAAATAGATTTGCTCGTCTTAGGAGTAATCTCGGGCTGCTCCCTGGCCGATTATGGTCCACTTGCCGAGTAAAAGAACGCGAGTAAAGTTACAAGTCTCTCGGGCAAGTATACGAGTGAGAAAAATAAGAATCTATTATCGATTGAGAGAACAGCTATATAGTTACGTATATATGTGTATATAATTATGTGATAATTGTGTCCTAGTAAGAGTAATTTCGAAGTATCGACAAGAAAAATACGATATTTGGCAAAAACACGTAATCGTCGACGTCGTATATACGTCGAATGAGAGTATCACGAGCGATTTACGTCGTCGAAAAAAAATGCCGCATAGACGTCATCAAATTATCGACAATTAGATCGACCGTTGTTGTACCTCTTTTGTAGCAGTTGTTCAGGGTCGTTCAAGCCGTGGCGATCAATGCTGGAGGTCAGAGATCGCTCTCCATCTCGTCTGTCGCCAATTGAAAGTGTTTTTGACCTGTGATAATATGCAAAACGTTATTACAAAAGAATCTACGTATAATTTAGATACGCTTAGAGTTGGTACATTTAACATTTTAAAGAACGATAATACCTCGTCAAAGATTATTGTTTTATCTGACATCTAGAATTTCTTGGATTCGGACGTATATGCCGCATTTTGCGCTTTAAATTTCTCGTTACTTTAAATGTAAATTTGTCAATCATTTTTTGATCGAGAGCGTGGTGGGGTATATATATATATATATATATATATATATATATATATATATATATATATATATCTGTTTTAGAGATACGATATACAGGGTATTAAAAAAAAACCATTCAATATTTATATAATAGGTAGGACACACTATACTGAGTAAAAAAACCTAGTAAACATAGATCGAAAGCTCAACCATTTCTGAGATATAAACATTTTTGTATGTTAGCATCATTATTGACTTACTGGCTTCTACGTGTAGCATGCGATGTTTACCTCAGTGTTTATAAACCGCGTTTTGAATATCCTCATTCAATTTCCATACACATTTCATAACAGAATATTTCACCGGCAATCAGTCAGTTGTCATCAACCGGCGATTGCGGATCTATTTGGTGATTACACAGTTACAAAGTATCGTGCTGAAAATGTCAGCGTATTACTCTAATGAAGAAGCCAGTAAATCAATCATGATGCTATATATATATATAATTACATATATTTAATATATA